AGCAGTTTGAAGAGGAAATGGATTCTGTTCTGTTCTTCACTCATCACCTACCTGACAGCTGACACCTCACACCTGTTTCTCAGCTGCAGGTCAGACAGGAGGAGACACGGAGGATGAAGGGAAGGAGGATGGAGGGAAGGAGGCTACACAGAGGAAAAATGGATCTGTTGGGCTGAAAGTTTGTCTGACAGTTTTTAGTATGCTTCTTCTTGTTGCTGTTGGTTTTGCAGTCTAGAGAACAACAGACACTTCCTGCTGAACAGCAGCTTGTTTGAAATGTCCCAAAGATTTTAAAGGATTGACTCCGAGTCTCCTGTTTAGGTTCCAACTTTGGTGTTGTCATTGAAAATTTGAAAGTGAATATAATCTCACGATACACAGAAATGAGCAATGCTGAAGATTCAGCAGGTAGATGCCAAATTTGTAGATTTTGATTTGATTTTAAATTTGTATGTCATTTGTATGAGATGTTTGTCCACCAGAGAGTACCCTGAGTGAGTGAGTACCCTGCATCCATGTTGGCAACATGGTTGGAGCACCACAAATGCAATTATCTCATATGAATGGAGTTGGAGCGTACACAAACTGTGGGCCATAAAAAAAGTGAACCAACCTCCTTTGGTGAAATAATGTTTAAATTACTAACTAGTCGTTAGAAATTAAATTCTGCCCTTTAGATACCATATTTCCTTTTGCTAACATATGATCAGTTTGTAATTCCCTCCCTTGGAATGTATAAAAGTTCTTCTGTTTCTGAGCGTTCATGATTTAGACCTGTGATGTTTTGATGTGTGTTTGCTCTTCTGCTTGCATGCAGTAATAAAATAGCTTGACCACAGCTGACCGTGTTGCAGACCCTTTTTAAATTTTTTTTTTTATTTAAAAGATTTGTTAAATCATTAAATCCTAGCTATGTTCTCCCCACTAAAAAGGTCATAAAAGCAGTGAAAATGTAGTTTTTACAGAATAAAATATGAACAGGCAGGACTGAGGCCTCAGTGTGTAGCTGTCCATACCTCAACGTTACAAAAGCACAACCACTGTCCACACCCCAACCACACCTCACCTCACAGTAAATGATCATTTCCATTTTAAGCATTTCCAAATGATCATTTTCCATGCTGCCAGTATAAATATACACAGTATACTGCATCACTACAATATACATGTTTTACACACTCCTTTTGTTGTTGACATTTACAGGCTGTGTGCAAAAGGCCACACTCTTCAAATTCATGCCAACTAATATTTTTACGTCCAGTAGGTGTCCTACTAGAGC